TCGAACTCAGTAGCAATTTGTTGGAAAATGCTCACGGGGAAGTCTTGGACATCGCAGATTTTCAAATGTGGCGCTGCGACAGGAGTAAACGCCTCCTATGGGTTCGGGGCGAGCCTGGCCCCAGCAAGACCACGACAATGTGTCGCGTCGTCGACGAGCTGCAAAATGCGCCCGAAAGTCGCAGTTTCAAGTCCTTTTACTTCTGTCAAGGGACTGACTGTGACACCAGAAGCGGCGAAGCGGTGTTGCGCGGCTTGATCTACCTTCTCTACCAGCAACAACCGTCTCTCCTGGACAACATACGCAAGCGACGCAGACGAATGCCACGAGAGATAAACGCAAGCGGCGATGCATGGCTTCCACTTGCGAGTGCATTCTTCGACATTTTAAACAGTCCCACGCTGAAAGCTCAAGGCGTTTTCTTTTCCATCGATGCACTTGATGAGTGTGTCATTGGTTCGCACAATCTGCTGGACTTGATAGACCGCACTGCTTCAAAATGCCCTCACGTCAAATGGGTGGTCTCCAGTGGGCAGTCAGCCGAGATTGAGGGTCGTGTCAACAAACTAGGCGAAAAAGCAACCGTTGTTCTAGTTTCGGACTCTCGCCCAAGCTCTCTATACTCAGAATTCTTGCGGCGTATCGAAGAGTCGGACCGGAGGGACGTGTGCAAACGCCTCTTGGCCACTATGGCCATCGCTCACAGGCCTATCAACACGCAGGAACTCTGGTGCCTACTGGGGACTTCCGTTACCTCAGGTGGTCATAGTTTTCTGGACAGTATTTTGCAACTCTGCGCAGCATTTTTGGTTATTGACCGAGATACACTCTATCTCACCCACTCGGCGGCCAAGACGTTTCTCCTCCTCAAATTGAAGACATCGGATAGCGACCTTCTGGAAGCTACAAAAAAGACAGCCTTGCTACGGTCCTTAGACACCATGATGAAATCATTACGGCGTGATATGTATAGCTTACAGCATCCGGGCACCATTATTGACCAGGTGCTCCAACCCAAATCGGATCCCTTGGCAGAGATGCGCTACGCAATCATCTTCTGGGTTCATCACTTACTGGAGTGGTCCCATGGTCCTACGCCGAGCTTTTCAGATGACGGGATGGTATTGTCAGAAGGAGGGCTCCTCGAGAAGTTCTTGAAGGAGAAATACCTCAACTGGCTTGAGGCTCTAAGCCTTCTCAGGCGTGTACCGGATGGGGTGAGAGCAATGGCGAAGTTGAAGGACTTTGTGGTAAGTCCCTTTTTTCGGGAATCGTCCCGTTTGATGCATCCTATTTCACCAGTGCTGACATTGATTAGGAACAACCTGGTTCATCCTCATTTCTGAAGGCACTAGTTTGTGATGCCTGTCATTTTTTGACTTCCAATGCAATGGTAATCGAGAAAGCACCGCTTCAAGTATACGCATCAGCTCTAGTCTTTTGGCCAGACTCAAGTTTGATCAAGCAACTCTACAAAACGGAGTTGCAAGTCAAGGTCACCATCAACGCCGGAAACATTGTCACGGAAAACAAACCTGCTGCAGGACAAAGAAGTCACGTTGGTTCAGTCTGGAGTGTAGCGTTCTCACCCATAGACAGCCATATTGTGGCCTCAGCTTCCGATGACAAGACTGTCAAGATCTGGGATACTGCAACTCGGCAGTGCCTACAGACACTGAAAGGCCATACTGATTTGATCTGGTCCATCAACTTCTCGGCCGACGGCAACAGAATTGCATCAGCTTCTGATGATGAGTCAGTTCGAATTTGGAAAGTTGCTACTGGCAAGTGCATCAAAACGCTCGATGGCCGGGGTGCTGGTGCATACTCAAAGGCTTTCAATCTCACAGGCCATTCGAGAAATGTTTGGACGGTTATCTTCTCCCACAACGGTGAGCAGATCGCCACTTGTGCAAGTGACAACACGGCCAAGATCTGGGATGCAGCGACCGGGAAATGTGTGCAAACATTCAAGGGTCATAAGTTCTCCGTCTTTTCCATCGCAATGCATGAAAACAGGCAACTTGCCACGGGATCGCCTGACGAGTGCCTCAGAATCTGGGACATCAAAACCGGCGAGTGTCTGCACAACATCAAGAATGAGTCGACGATTTATACCGTCGCATACTCACATTCTGGCCGATACGTCGCTGCGGCAGGGGAAGATGTGAGGGTCTATGACACTGCCAAAGGCACCACAGTTCGTACTTTTGCCAAGGGCGGCACATCGACGAATGCGACTGCATTCTCTCACGACGACAGGCTGATAGCCACGGTCACCGACAGTTCGACTGTCAGCATCTGGAACTTTGCCACGGGTCAGTACATTCAAAAGTGCAAGGGTCACATCACCAGCGTCTATTCCGTAGCCTTCCCTCGTCGGCACAATGAGCTCGTCGCCTCGGGCTCTGACAAAGGTGAGGCCAGGATATGGAACATTGTCACAGGAACCTGTCTCCACGTACTGGACCAAAGAGGCGGACCTATCTGGGCCATGTCATTCATGCGAGGGCCCGGGTGTTCAGATCAGCAGATTATGACATCCTCCGACACTGGAATGGTTAAAATCTGGAAGATCGCAACAGGCGCATGCATCTACACATTGAAAGCTCACCGCCAAATGGACAGCCTCAACTTTGCGTCATTTTCCCATAATGGCCAGCAGCTTGCCACGTCAGCTGATGATGGAGAGGTCGCGGTATGGGATGTCGTCTATGGCGGTTCTGTCTGGTCTGTGTCCTTCTCGCGCGACGACCGTTGGCTGGCTACCTGCTCGAGAGACGGGCCCGTGAGGATCTGGGACCAAGCCAAGGGTGACCCCTGGTACGTCTTTGATCCCCATACCGACGCCGTCTACTCGACGTGCTTCTCAAACAGCTGCTCCATGCTTGCTGCGGCCTCTGAGGATCGTACGATCTCGATATCTGCTGTTGACGGAGGATGTTTGCATCGGTACAGAGGCCACGATGGGTCGGTGTGGGCAGTGGCTTTCTCGCCCGATGATGGCCGTATTATTTCTGCGTCCAGCGATCGCACTCTGAGACTTTGGGACGTTGAAGAAGAGGCTTGCCTACAGGTGGTTGAAGTGGGCACTTCCTTGTCTGCTCTCTCCTTCGACGACATCGGTTATCATGCAATCACTGAGATCGGACGTTTCAAATTAGACTGGAGACCGAGCGATTCACCGACAGCGCCAGACGCCATGGTCGATTCCTGTAATGAGGTTATCGAGTCCCGCATTACAGAGGAACCAACTACCAATCAAGCTGTTACAAAGCTTCCCGAATACGGCTTGAGCATAGATAGAAATTGGATTACAAGGGATGGTGAGAATATCATTTTGCTGCCACCATACTGCAGGCCTCTTTGTTCAGCTATTTCACGCCAGACGATTTGTATCGGTTGTCGAAGCGGGCAGGTCTTGTTTATTGACTTTACTTCTGATACTCGAGCCTGAAAACAGCAGTCCAGATACATTACAAGGGGAAGAGCATATATTAGTTTACTTAATATTAAACGCTGAATGTTTCGAGGTTTACATGTGCAAGCAAGCTAGATGTGGAAATGTACTGCAATACCGCTTGATTCCTTAGTACTACTGCCTGTCTGAGTAGGTGGGAGCCACCCCTTCTATATACAATAGTGTGAATAGCCTCAAGTACCGGTACTTCGTACCATAGGTGTCAGACTGCAGTATCTCCGATTTCGGCACTAGATATGTAAGAGAAACCTTAATTGCCAGCCCTGGAGGTCACAGAAGAGAGGATTACAGGACAATAAGAGAGCAGACAGCTAGTGCAATCTTCCCAAGTAGCACTGTTTGAGCACTGGGAGGGCACCGGAGGCTGCGGAGGGCTACAGGGCTCTGTGTCTTCTGGGCCGCTAACCCAGTAACTGCGGACTGTGTACACGTCATAGGCGCTGTAGATGGATGACTAGGGATGAATGTAAGCGTATAGGTAGTAGGATGTACCGCTCCGCATGAAGAAGACGCTGCATCCAGAATTTCAGTGGTAATAAGAGATTCATCCAGAATTTTAGTGGCAACAAGAGATTGTGCAGCGGGTGGAAAGGAATTGGCGGGCTGTATATCACTCTCGAGGTGGCAGCCGTGGCTCGCCTGGAAGATGTTTGCCATGCAGTGCACTATGAACTGCTTCATGTCGTAAAGGTTCTCTCCGGGGCCTTCGTTGCACCGACAGGGGAGGATGGATCATCCACCCCATATACCTTGGCTACAAAGGGGTTCTTCAGATTTTGACGGAGTTGAGAACATCTTACATGTTCACGCAGCACCCGATCGGCAAGCTATTACTAGGTAGTTACCTGTTGATCAACGAGTGTGAATAATGACAGCGCCACAGTCTCACATGCGGGATGCTTGAGATCCGATGACTCTCATTGCGACGTGCGGCGCTTTTCTGGAATGTATGCATTGGTGAGCACCTGCTTCCAGTGTGGGGAGATGCTAACTTCAGCCATAAGCAGCGTACATAGGTAATGCAGCCTCGGAGCTTCCTTGCCATGGATGTTCATCCAGCAGACTTGCAGTGTAATAGACGTACTTTCCTTAGCGTACAAGCCCGTACGGAAGGCAGGTAGAGCTGCAGTGCACCCGCTTCCTTGAACCCGTGCTCAGGCTCGATCCTATCATCCAGGACCACGTCATCCTTGTGAAGCTTTTCTTTGCATCCCGTTCAGACCCAGCCAGTGTCCATTTCTGGCTGCAAACATCATCATCCTTTCGTTCATGTCAACCATCGCTCAGATATCGTCGTTTCACCGCTCGTGGTAAACATACGATCCACCTTTTGTCAGAAGCCACATGCCATCAACTATCGCTCGTTCTCGTCTCATCCATTGGGCAAGGCAAGTCAAGGGAGTTTCCAACGTGCCGCTCTGGCTCCACGCGCTAATCTCATACACCACCTGTAGGGCTACTACAGTTATTCTTCTCACACTTGCTGCACGGCTCCACCTTCCCTGCTACTCGATCGCCACTAGCCAGCCCGCAGCCCAGGACAAGCCGTATCCTCCTCGTATTCGGTTGAGTATCCAGCCAGTCCAACAAGATGTGTCACTACTACGGCAAAGTGCGTTGGGCAAAATGCAACCATGCCGTGTCCTCCAATGATCTTGAACCCCAACATCGAAAAGTTCTGGGGTAGTGCAGACAGGCCGATGAAGGAAAAAGGCAATGCAACACGTACATATACCAGGTCAACACGGAGCACATCGAGGCTGATGTATTCGAAGATGAGACGCTCCCGTGCCCGGTGTGCCACGCGTGGGTGCGAAGAGTGGACAGGCTCTGGAAGATGTTCACGGACGAGCTGGTATCCGAAAAGTTGCTGGGGAAAGGCAGGTTCTCCAAAGCTGAGATCCAGGCATTGACGGAGAGAAGAAACGAGGCGACGTTTTACTTCCCGGATTTCTGGAACCATTTTGACGAGCTGGAGAAGGGTCAGAAAGACATGTTTGAGAGGTGCTACCGCCAGGCATTGCACCAACACCTGGGTTGGAAGACAACGGGGCCCGTGTGGGAGTGGAGGAAACATGGCAATGCCGATTTACCCAACATTTATGCCAACCTGTGTGCCGGTGCGTACGTCGAGGAGGAGACCGGAGACGAGAGGACCAGAGACGACACCCCTACTGGAGAGGAGGATCGGGGCCGACGTTAAGGGCGCCATTGAGGGTGGTGGTGATTGACTGATCAACAGTAGCGTCTTGACTATGTTGTGTGCGCACTTGGCGGCACCGAGCGAACCGTGAGCTAGGGGGCCTTTCTGTTTATTTTCCTCGCCCGGGACACTTATCGGTTCAGCTCAGCGACAGACAATAAATAGCATTTGGATTTAGACAGTGTGGGAGACCCCCCTTGGTCTTACTGGTCGATTCGATGTCGTGTCGATGTCTGCGTAGTGAAGACTCCCCGGCTGGCTGGTGGGCGCTCATTCGTCGACCAGTCAAGCATCGTCACTGGAGCACCTCCCAGCCACCGGGATTTGCCAACACACACCTCCAAGCCACCAGACCACACCACCTTCTCGAGCACCCACAATTCTACCTAGCTCGCCGGACTGACGCCGGCTCGATCCGCATCGCCGGCCACGGACGACACCCAACCACAACTGCTGGTATCGAAATCCTTTTGTTAACTATCCTTCCAAGGCAATCGCTCAATCTCTGAGCACAGCAGTCTGCCTCCCCAGCCATGATGGACCGCCCCTCGCCAGCCAGGATCCAGGCCTGCCAGCCGTCCCCGTCCAGCTTCCCGCCGCCCATGATGCCATCCCATCACCAACAGCAGCCAATCCAGCCCAGCGGACCCGTCCTCTCACACTCGCAGCAGCCACCCCAGCCGCCCCAGCCGCCCATGATGTCCGGCGCTGGCGGCAGCGCCTATGCCAGCTCGCCTCCTCCTCCTGGCTCGCTCCAGCAGCATCAGCAGCATAGGCTCGAGGAGATCCACGTCACGGGGCCTGTGCTGACCCAATCGCCGACCCAGATGGTGCCGCGGGACCGAGACCTCAAGGCCGCGCGGTCGACAGCCGAGTTCGCGGTACGCGAGTACATAACGCTGCAGCGGCGGCGGTACGGCGCGAGCACGGCCAGCGTTGGCGGGAGCGACCCGGCGCTCGAGGACCGCATACGGCGGCAAGCGGGAATGGCGGGGGCAAGCCTGCGGGCTGTGCGGGAGAGGGTCGTAGGTCTGGCGAGGGAGGCCGAGGCGCACCGGTGGAGGAAGTGGATGCTTGGTGGCATTCTGTGACTTCCCCCCTGTCTTGAATGGCTGGGTTTGTCATGATCTCGCTGACAGTGAGTTACAGTGCATCGTTCATCCCATTGGTCAAGAGGCTTTTTCGGCGGCCCCGCGAGGAGAAGGGGCTTGAGGGTGTCAGTGGAACGGAGTATGCTTTCCAGAAGAGCAAGACTTTGATATCACGGATTCTCAATTCGGTGCATGGGAAGAGCGGGCTCGCATCGGTGGCCTTCTTCGTGTTCGCTGTCCTTTATGTGTTTTCGAACGAGGTCTCTTTGCGCGTGGCTAAGACTCTGTCTAAAAGGCTGAAGCGCCTCACGGCCAAGGTTGAGAGTGGCGAGGGAGATATTCAAGAGCGAGACCTGGAGATGTTAAGTGGCTGGAGGTGGAGGATCTTGTCGTGGACGGAGTGAGCATGGGCCGAGTCACCAACAGTAACGAATGGCGGTTTCGTAGTACAGTATTGGGATAAGATTTAATCGTTACGCATAATGGAGCCTCTGCCTGGAAACGAGGCGTTCTACCACAGCCACGCAGCCAAGGGAGCATGCCCATGCCCCAGCACATGCTCTCAGTCACTGCCAGTTGTGCAAGATAGCAGTAGCCATATGCGTGTCGACTGGCACATAAACAATAAACGTGCTTCCTGCCAGATATTGTACTTTAGGTGGATCATGTCTTTGCCAGTTCATCCGCAGCAACCTGAAGCTCGGCCTAGCTACCACGTTCAAAAGTTTTCGTGCAGAAACCCGGCGTGCCTACAGTAGACATCTTCCAGCATCTCAAGCCAAGCGTTGATTCTCGCTGTCTTCCAACCCAGTAGCAAGCCTTGCGCCTGTTCTTCTACGAATGTTTCTCATAATACCGTCTTCGATTTTGTCCATACGTTCATTCGCTGCTTGTTCATCCTCCGGCTGCACCCGGCCAGATCGACGATCGACTACCCACCACGTCCCCAGGACCAGGATTGTCAGGGGGATCATCGACGCAAAGTATATCCAGATGCGAGGAGAGACCGAGCCGTGGATATCTGCGCAGTTTTGGGTGTATCAGCGCAAAGTCCTGCCACGCTAGAGGAGGACTCTGTCGTTTCCTCACCATTGTCAAACTTGAAGAAAGACATGCTGAACAAGGACGATAGGAATGTGCCAGGGAGGAAGAAAGCGCCTAGCATAGTCAGGGTCTTCATTGACATGCTGTCTTGCCTGCTTATCAAAGCCAGGCGGCTCTGCTGGTCTGCGATCCTCAGGTTCAGTCTTGATTCTCGCTGGTTTATGAGGCTATCCATCTGAAGACCACTATTAGCAAGCTTGAGATGTGCTGGTTGCCAAGCCCCATGCAAGACATTGTGTAATTTCTGTACATACAACCTGTCTTTGCACATTTAGCCGCTCGAGTGTGACTTGAGAGTATGCTTCAAGGGCGTTGAGCTTTATTGTCAGATACTGCAAACGGTCTCTTATCTCGTGATGCATCTCTGTCAGCTCTTGAGACTTTTCATCTTCCGAGCAGGTCTGCCAAAAGAACTCTGTGGCATCGGCCATCTGGTCAATGACGTTTCTCCAGGCCTGCGGACGCTTCCACATGGCTTTGCACTGACAGTCGGCTAGGCCACGATTAATCGCATCGAGCAGGTGGTCATTGGCGGAGGGTTGACTCTTGCTTGGATCCAACTGATAGCGTTGAGACAATGCTTCTTCGAGCGCGCGGAGCTTGGCTCGAACGTCCCGTTGCATTTTGTCGTTCTTAGTTGCCAGCTCTTTGTTCAGTGCCAGCACTGGCAAGAGCAGTGGATGGCTCCCAGGCTCCTTGAAGTCCTGGAACAAGTCTAGGGTCTCGTTGAACTTGGCGGACTCTGTAGCTTTGATGTATCCATTTGTCATTTTTGTTGGAAAAGAATAGGAGAGCATCATCATCCATCCTCTTGAGTGCCCCAGCCACTCGACATCCGACTTGCGAAATACGAGCTCTGTTGCTTTTGTGAGAATATGTTTGGCAAGAAGGAAGCCCTGGTATTTGGACTTACGCAGACAATCTTTCGACAATTCCCGTTTGCCAGTCCACCAAAACAACGGGCCGACGGCACTTGATGTCTCGAGGTTGCGAAATGGGAGCTTGAACTGGCGGACCAGGCCATCAAAGGCTTCCTTCGGCAATGAGATCACTCCCGGTTCGAATGTTTTTGGGTCGCGAGCATTGAGCTGGAGACTGTGACACGAATACGCGGTATCAGATGGGTGAAACGACCAGGGGGAATTTTGCATCACTTGAGGAATATCACTAGACTAAAGGACTGACTAGTACACCTTGGTATCTAGGTGTATCGGTACACGAATGCCTGATCACGACTCTACTCACAGGAGGCGGATCCCACTGGCGAATGTCGTTCCTTTAGGCAATGCCGGGGCTTTGAACGTCCCCTGTGCTGGTCAGTACAATAAAAAAGACCGTTTCAGTCTTTGGAGCTTACTTTGCGAACAATGAAATTGTCAAAGTCATCGCCCAGTTTCAAACTGTGCTGGTCGGAGGTATTGTACTGGCCATCCTGGAATCAATTGATGAATTCATTGGCACGTTAGCGATTGGCTTGATGTGCGTAGGTTGCTGTCATTCATGCCTTACCGAGTATTGCAGGACTTGCAGATAACCTGTTTCTTCGCAAATGACATCGCACTCGTCGAGGTGCCGGCGGTAGAAGATCTCGTCCATCTCCCACAGCCATGAGCGATTAGGAGGGAAGAGCCAGCCCAAGTCGGAGAACAATTTTGGGGGGCAGATAACTGGGCAGGTGGCCAACAATGCAAGGTCTATATTTCAGCCTTCTCTCCTTGTCTGCTTGCCTGCCAGAATGATCAAATGATTACTTAGGTCGCCTGCATAGAATGTGCATGCATATTCAGCGGAGCAGCCGATTGGCTGTTTCCAGCTTCTAAGGTGAGAAAATACCAATCAGGGTTGCATCAGGATGCACGCCACATAATCAGCCAGCCACAGCCAGTCAATGCCTAGTTGACCAGGTTGATCACCGTTGTCAACTTAGCAAATGGCGCTAAGGCAGAGTGTGATTCCCACTTGACCAAGCCTCACCACCTCCCGCAAGGGTAATTTCACAACAGTCCGAAACAGAAGTATCACAGCGGCTTGATGTGTCTCCCAAGGGCCCCCAGGACCGCGCTCATCAACCCAACATATCTGCCACGAGTCCTAGAATCTCGTGCCTTTATAGACAAAGGACCGACCACGCACGCATTTGAGGTTCTTTGGAACTCCATAAGCAAAGTCCCCTATACCTCCTACTACTTGGAGCAGGCACAAAGTCACGGCAGTGACAACCAGGAGGTAACGGTTGACCACACAGTGCAGAAGTCTGCAGGATAATATGATGTTGTGCGCTGAATAGTGTGGTCGCCTGAGGGTCGGAAGATGGTCAAGTGTTTGGGAGATGGATGATTCCAAAGTGCGAATGAAGTGATGGCTTTGGTGATGTGCTTCCCTTGGCCAGGCCCTTCAGTGAATTTCACTATCACGCTCATTTCCAGCCTTCCAACCATTATCATCTAACTATACATGCTTGGTACACCAGAGTGACTTGTAGTGATGGGGGGCACTATTATCTTTATAGTGTTTATGGAACCTATGCTGATTGATGTGCTGAACTGCAGGTATCTATCTCTAGTT